CTCAAATACTAGGGCTCCTTTCAAGGGGTTTCTAGGGGGATATATAAGGTTTAGGGTTTAGGGATCCAAGGACCAAAATACTAGGGTTTTAGGGCCCCAATACCATTAACATTATAGTATTTGGGCCCTCAAACCCTGTTATTTGGGTCCTTGGACCCTTAGGTGATTCCTTCAGATTCTGGATCTTTTCTTGCCTGCTTCATAACACAGACTACATATTCCCCCATAGACTACTTCTCGTTGTCTCACCGTGCCCAAACATTCGTTCACTGTGGTGCATCAAGCACTTGAAGCCAAAGTCCCCAGCCTATTCAACTTATCGGTTCCGGATAGGGAAAAAGGGAATGCAGTAAGGTGGTTAAGGTGCGGGTGACAATGATGATGAAGGTGGCGCTGACCATGACCCTGATGCTAGTGTTGCTGATGCTCTTGTTGTTGGTGTTGGTGGTGCTGGTGGTCGTGGTGGTGCTGGTGGTCGTGGTTGTAGTCGTTATCGTGGTCGTCGTCGTCGTAGGGAGAGCCGTAGCGAAGTCAGAGACCCTGCTTGGCAGCGCTAGTATCGGTAGCGTCGGCGGCAACTATGTTAGTGGTGGTGTCATCTTTATCACAGCCATAGACGGAGAATTGGACATTTATGACCGTGATACCGGATGCCGCACAACAACAGCATTCCCAAAGAGTTCATGACACTAAACAGCCCTTTTTTTTAGGTTAGAACCCCACCACGTTTGCGCAGCAACCCTACACCCCGAACCCGTTTATTCTAGCCTCCCCCAACCTTAAACCCCGAAGCCATAAAGACAGCCCAAACAAACCTTTTCCTAGATTTTAACCCCTCCCAATATCTGAAATCCCAAATCTCTAAAGCCCTAAACAGGTTCATGTTCGGCGGAGCTATCGGCTTCGTGGGCACCACAAGCCCCTTGTTTCGCTAAGTATGTTCAAGAGCCGGGACTCGGGGGTGGGTGTGGGGGTTAAGGTTATGGGATTGCAGGGTCAATAAGAATAGCAATAATAGACATAGTAGAATAAAAAAACAATGACAATAACAGTACAAATAGTTAGTAATAATAGTGAAGCAATAACAATAACGGGTTAGAGACTACGGAGTAGGCTCCAGGGTTCCGAGTTTGGGGGTTTGACGAAATGAGAGATTCCAGCAAAAATCTTACGCCACTCTAAAACCCTAAACCCTAAACCCAAAAAATCTAAAACCCTAAAACGCTAAGGGTCAAGAACGCCTCGGGCAAACAAGCATTAACCCTGAGGGTCCAAAGTATTCGATTAGGGCTTAGTGTGTACGGTTTAGGGTTTAGGGTTGAGGAAATAGGGTTTAGGGTTTACGTAGGGCACCCCACGCCTAATTAAATGACGATTGCTAGTAGAAAGCTCCCAAAGTATATTAATATCGCATACTGGACCCTCAGGATAGTGAGCAAATTACAGCAGTAGAGACACCAAGCAGGCATCGGTGGAATCACATGAAAGCGGAGGATATGGGTTCCCTAGCCATGGGGGAATCCATAGAGAAAAGAGGGAGATAAGGTAACCAAATATCGTTAGGGTTTGGGGTTCAGGGGTTTAGAGCTTGGGCTTTGGGAGTTTAGGGTTCACGGGTTGAAGGTCGAAGGGTTTAAGGACATGGAAGTTTCTGGACCCTTCGGCAGAATCCTTACGCTTGTTTCCTTACGGGAACCCGCAGATGCTAGTTCTCAAGCGTTTCACAGTTGTAATTAATTACCCCTAAGGTTTAGGGGGTTGAGGGGTTTAGGGGCCTAGGGTTTAGGGTTTAGTTCCTGTCTTGCTTAGAACACCAGTCTCTTCAGGTCTTACAATGTGGTGGCATAGATAATAACCTCAGGATTAAGGGCCCAATGCCCTAAACCTTAAACCCCTAAACCCTAAACCCCCTCAGACTAAACCCCGTGAAGCCCAGGCCCCAAATTCTACAACCGTCAAGAGGTGTCTGTGCAGGCCCAAGCCCTATAGTCCCCCTTTAGTAGATAGAATATGGGGTATATGGAGATCTTATTATAACATACCCAAAGCCATATTCTATCTACTTAAGGGGGACTATATATACCCTAAACTGCAGGGGGGAGGGGGCCTCAAGGGTTGAGGTTTTTGGGTTTGGGGGTCTAGAGTTTCAGGGTTTAGGGCTGAAGGCTTAGGCCTTTAGGTTTTAGGTTTTAGATCTTAAGGTTTAGTGCTGGGGGCGGTTTGGGGATTCTGGATTCGGATTGCAGGTTCAGGGCTTAGGGCTTTCGGGGCTTGGGTTTCTTCGGTGAGCGCTACAGTTTGCCCCAGTGTCTTCATGTCCGTCTTCTAGATGTTGGAGTCAGAGGTCTGAGGGGGAGTTCGTGATTTGAGCATTGAGGTCTACACGACAGTAGCCCAACTGGGGCATACAGGGAGGCGGTCATGCTCCAGAATTTCGTTCTTCAAGACACTCAGAGGGTTGAAGTTGATATGGTGCCCCTCAGTAGAAGCACAGCGCACCTAAACCAATATTGGGGTTTAGGGTTTAAGGTGTTTTTTTTNNTAAAAAAAAAAAAAAAAAAGTGTATTTAGGGGTTTTTGGTGAACCGCTTGATATAGAATTTCTGCGGCGAAGCCTTTTGCTGCTTACCCGTACCAGGCTCTCCTTGGTAGGGAGGCTTATTTGAGGGTGGCTGCTGTCTTTGGAATCCCTCATACGATGTCGCAAGTCAGGTTTTTGAAGCCACCAGCTATCACAGGATGTCCAAAAGGGCAATCATGACAGAAATGGCCGTAGTAGCGAAAGCAACAATTGTAAATAGGAATAGGACCAATAATGATAGCACCCAAATCCTAATGCTTCCGTAATACCTCCCGCCTTTCTGATAAAGCTGCTCCATGAAACAGCACGATTTTATGACCAGGAAGCATTTCGAGGGTTTCTGGCAGTCGGATGTTGATGGCTACAGAAAGTAAAGCAGGACTGCCGCAATAGAATCTGTTGAAGATAATCTTCGACCACCCTAAGCCCTAAAACCCTATATATCCCCCTAGAACCCCTCCACAGGGACCCTCTTATGTAGGCCGTTCTGCTTCTGCTTGTGAAGAAGAAAGAGTATCCAATAACCAAAGCCGGTATCCACCAGAAATTACACCAAGCAAATGGCTAGATGGCTGCCCTAAACCCTAAACCCTAGAGTCCCCTCCCGAAACCCGAAACCCTAAGCCCTAAACCTAGAGTCCCCTTCCTAAACCCTAAACCCTAAACCCAACACCCTAAACCAAGCTCTGCAAGAGTCATCTCAGCAGGCATTTTGGGCTCTGCCCGAATGTTATAAGATCTGTGGACCTGGGGGCCTCAATCCCATATGAGCCCTATCCTAAATTCCTTAAAGGAGGTTACAGAGCTTATTGAGGGGGATACTAGAAGTTTAGACCATAGCTCATATTCAGCCCTGAGCCCTTTGTAAACCCTAATGCCTCAATTTGCCCGTCGCTTGCAAGCTGGCACCCTTTCATGCAGGGTCTCTGAAATCCAGGGACTGGGGCATCTTGCATTTTGCTTTTGCATACCCTGAACCATATTTCAGAGATGGCTGTGAGGAGTGCATTGGCGATACCATGAAGCTTTTCGAAGAGACGTCCGCGCTACCCTACGACAAGACACTGCGGGTTCAAGTGCACACATGGCTGGTTGTCAAAACTTTGAATGTAGGTTGCAGGATCTAAATGGTACAAAACGCAGGTGTTCTGGATTGATAACCTATAAAGCTACACTTCTGGCTTGGGCGCTTCACGTTGGCTAGTGGAGCTTGAGATAGTCCAGGATATTTACAGGGTTACGCAGCCCTTGGGTCACGTCTCAGCATGCTGTGCTTCGAAGGAGTCGCCCCGACACCTCCATTTGGTGCATGAAGGAGCATCGATGACGATATTTATTGCGGAACAAAGGTTTGGAACATTCCCAATTCCATGAGCCGAGGTCAAAATTACCGTTATTGTACAGTAGTNNAGGAGGGTTGTTCAATGAATAGAGATATATTGAAACCACTGCAAAACGATACGAGGCACCTCAAAAAACGATATCCCAAAACGATACCTCCCAGA